TTTTCAAATTTAAGTTCAGGACAACAATGGCTTTCGAATGATATAAAAAAATTTCGTCAAAAATGGCTAGTTAAAAAGTCAAAATTTGTCTGAAGAAAAAAAAAACCACCCCGAGCACAAATATTCCGTTACTTTCGTATCGAAAGTCGGAACAAAAACCCACCCCGAGCACAAATATTCCGTTACTTTCGTATCGAAAGTCGGAACAAAAACTGTGGAAAAATAGTCTCTTTTCTAGTTCCAACTTGAAATGACTTTTGATTTTCTAATTGGCAATAAAACGTGTCAGAATGAATAACAAGAGAACAAAATTTCGCATGTAAAGTTCCGCATTAAGTAGTTGGTAATGCTATCTTACAAGGGGGTGAAAAACCGGAAAAGAGCCAAAGCGTATTGTTAACATGTCTTCATTGCAATTTCCCAGCGAAAAAAAAAGAAAAGTAGCTTCAATAATTCGTATAAGTGCAACGTTATTTCGCATCATTTTTTCACGAAGCAAATCGCGACTGATTTGCTTTTTTTAAAAGAAATTTCTGTCATTGTTTATATTACGGTAAAAAGCTATAAAGAATAAAACTCCACAGAATCTTTTTCAGTGTTTTATTTAAGATGGATACTCCAAAATTGGTAGTCAAAAAACAGTCGCTACCCACAAAATCAAAAAAAGAAGTTAATTGAATAAATCAAAAAAACAGGCAGCAAATAAATGCTTGACTTTACAAATAAGTTAATTTACATAGTATGCACTTCATGGGCAACATATTTTTTTTACTGGTATAACTACTTGCACAAAATAAAGTTAAAATTAAGACTATTGTTCAAAGTTACATCATTGTTCTGCTACTTGCACCTTAAATCAAATAAAACAAAACGCAATCAATTGAACTTCAATAATTTCAAGCAAAGATAGCCCAAAACGATAATCGGTAAACCTGAAAATCCTGCGCTCTGCGGCGAAGTTTTGATCGTTTTTGTCATCATTGCTTTAGTAGAACGTGGCAGAGGTCATGCCTTTTTCCCAATGCCAAACAATTCCATGCGCTGTTTTTAACCTTTTTACTTGCTCAAGCTTCCTGTGAACATGCTCAAGCTTCCAAGAAGGTCTGGGGTCAATTTAGCGTAAGAGTTAAAAATTTTTGCAACGAAGAATGTCTTCTCGAACCACCCGCCCCGCTCTCCGTAGGCTGCAATATCTAAACGGAATTCATCTCCGTTTATCACTTTCCTTAGCAAAAAGTTTCACCGTTCAGTCTTTCAACTTCAAAGTTTGTACAAACTTCTATCAAAAACTCGGTCGTGATATTTACCACTTCATCAACTACTATTTCGTGAAAACGACTGGTGGAGCACGACAGCACTTGCTCTATTGACAGAATTCTTCCCATAAACACAGTAATGCCAAGATACTTCTATGAAGGTCCAATCAGATCGTAAGTTAAGAGCATCAAGAAATGCCGACTTGCTTGAACAGAAATCGTGTTCTTCGGTTGGAAGAGTGGTCAGCCAATTTGACGCACTAATCGCATTGGCTAACTCAAATGCTTTAGCGTACATGGTGATAATTTATGACTGCGAAATTATTTTTGCTTTGACTTGTTCCTCAGATTGTTTTTCAACCTGTTTTGAGGTTATCTTTGGAGCAGCTTGAACTTCTCTCATCTCGAATGCATCAGATAAAAATTTTTCTTTTAAGATTGCATGAACTCTTTGAACTATTGGGATGGGATGCATCAGTTTCTGGGTGGATAACTATGATACGCGACCTTCATACCTAAAAATAAAAGCCAAAAAAGCTCTCTCTCGATATCACGGGTAGGCTTTCTACCAGTCAGTATTGGCAATAATTGGTTAATAAACGAATATTCGAAAGATTTGGGTTAAGTTTTTACCTGCAACCTTATTTTCGTAACGTTTGCACTAGTTGATTCCATTTAGTCATGAAAATGTTCATCAATGATGCTGCAAACTCACTATAAGTTGTATCTTCGCAATTTTAGACAAATTTATCTGTTCAACTTGTCGCCCTACAGTTTTTGCTCTGAAACAAACTCTTTAAAGATTTTTGTAACCCAACATAAACTGTTGATACTGTGATTTTTTAACGAATGGAGAAACAGGGCTTCGAACTAATGGGACCCCTATACAAATACTTTGTGGACACATATGGCGGTGCAAGACGACTGCAATCTGGTGGATAACAGACTGGCCGTACCAGTACAACTGCGACAGGCAGTACTAAAGAGGATACATCGAGGTCACCCGGGACAAGTGGCCCTGCTGGGGGTTTCACGATACTTGTGGTGGCCTCATATGCACAAACACATAGTGAATCTCGCTGAAGAATGCCGTAGTTGTACCAGATGTGGTAAGAACACAAAATATTTAATTCCTAAAAATTCATCAAAAACTCTACCACTGCTTACGCAGTCGGGTTCAACTTACAACAAGATTATGCGGGGCCATTAGAAAATCATAATGGAAAAAAACCTACTTGCTTGTAGCTATAGATGAATTCTCGAAATTTCCGTCAGTGAAAGTAACAAAATCGACAGGCGGAGGGTGTACTGTGAAATTTTTCCGAGCATATATTGACACGCAGACAACCCGGAATCAATCCGATCAGACCAATTTTCGGGCTTCAACGCGAACACACTTGAAAAATTTTGCTCTGAAAATAATATTGAACAAAAGTTCTGTCCAGTGATCGATGGTAAAAACAGGTCGACGTCAGAAATAGGGTCGACGGTAAAGATTTCCGCAGGATCGATATACCGGAAGTCAGATATCGCAGAAGCAGAAATCAGCCTACAACCAGAACCAACACAAGGATCGAGTAAGAGCTCATCAGCAGAGCCACGGAAAAAACTTCAAAAAATAAGCTCACCGGAAAAACTGCAGGAGAGTGACTCAGATGAAGAACTGCAACGACAGGCGCAGCAGGCCGATTTTTCGTACCCAAAAGAACGTTTTCAACAGAGTACCACCATCGTAACCTCAAAGGATACAGAAGCTGGGGGGACTGAACTTCGCCATCAAGAGAGATGAACCAAACACAGGGGGAAAAAGAATGAGAAGAAGACAAAAAAAGAAAAAACACGGAAAAAAGGGAAACCGGAAATAATCGACAGACAAGCGGTTGCAGAAACAACTACCAAAGACACAAAATTAAGCTCAACGCCCAGAAAACAACAGAAAAGCAACCTAAAGAAAGTGGTCATGTCCACTAAACCCGAAGATACTCCGGATTATTCCAGAATCGAAACCTTGCACCGACAGAATGGAAAAAGCCTGGCAGATCAAGTGGTTAAGAGGAGAGAACAGAAGGTGGCCGATGAACTGAGAGGCAAAAACCAATCTGTGGGCGAACGAGACAAACAATCCGAAAATGAAATTTGAAATTACCAATTTTTTTTTAAACTGAGCTTAAAAACACTTATTGTTATTATGAATTATTCCTATATTATAGAAAAAAATTTCACTGGAGGGGGTATGTGATGCTGCTACTGCAATAGCAATAATGTGACGTAACCTTCAGCTAATTATTCTACTTATTTTATCTCATTGTTCAAGGTCACGGTAACTAAGATCTTCAGTTAACCGCTGAGAGATCAGACTTACATCAGCCTATATAGATCTCAGCAGTTCTCAAATGAGAAAACTGTTTATTCAAGAAAAAATTTGGAATTATAATTTAGTTTTCCAACAAGATACCTCGTAGGATATCACACTATTACAATTCTTTTTCGGACTAGTTTCCGAGTTTCACTTTTACTGCCGAAATTTGCATGCTGTTTTATTTGTAGTATTCACTCTTTTAATTGCTTTTAGCATGTCTAGAAAATTTATAAAGTAATAAATGACAAAGGGATCATTCAGCAACCTAGCGAAGTGGGCGGTCTTTTCTTAAAAAAACCTGCCTAAATGGTTTTGAGAAAAACTAATTTTCTGCGAAAACCCAAAGCGTCGCAGACAAATAATCATACAGAAACCAATTTCCATGCATTTTCATAATTATTACTGCCTCACTTTTTTGGATCAATGTTTTGACTTTTCCGAGGGCTTGTGTAGAAAAAAATTGGGCGTAGCCGCTGATACAGGGGTCTCTTTTAACTCCTTATTTCAATTGAACCCAAAATCTCTGATTTGGTACGGCAGTTTTCGAAAATAGTCAGTGTTAGAACTTTTTTGTGTAAAAATTTGGGCGTAGCTGTTTATGCAGGGGAGTTTCCCCACAAACAGTTTTTCGATTGCATGCAAAATCTCAGACTTGTCGAGGTTCTTTTCGGAAACTTGTCGGAAACGAAAAAAAGTCCCCACTGTTCAAACCGTTCCCCACAGACTTTTTCGAAGGCTGTAGAAAAAAAAGAGCAGGGTAAAGAGACACTCGTAAAATCTGTATGCGCACAAGGAAGTGGGCGGTTTTTCAATTGGACCATTTTTTTGGAATTCAGTTAAGTAGTTTTCGAGAAAAAGTGAAGTCTTTTTCAAACCGTCCCACAAAAGTAATATAAAAATCATTCCCATAAATTTTCTTGGTACCTGTTCTGATTAAACAAGAGTTTTTGGAAATAAATGACAGGCATCAATTTTGGCAAGGCCCCGAGCTGCTTACAGTGACCTTTCTCAGATTTAAGACAAGATTGTGTGCGCCTTTTCTCTTAATGCACCTTGCGTTGTTATTTATTTCTGTTTTAAGAATTCTGAAATCTAGTTGGGAGCGTAGTGAAAAAGAACTTTGCATTTGGATGTTTTTAGAAAGAATCAGGAAGCACAAATGAGCTTCGAATGGCGGCATGTGATGTGGTAAATTAAAAGTTTTTTGAACCGTGATTTGTGTGTTTTTAGGAAAAACCCGATTGAAAAAAACCGGTTTGCAATTTAATCAACAAAAGGTCGTCAAAAACAAATTCATAATTTTGTCTCAAAACTGTTTTCTGGTCTAATAAGGTTCTGATTTCTGTATTTACTTTTGATTAACATCTTCACGTAAAGAAAATATACAATATTTAACTGAGCTTTAATTTCGATTGCAATTAATTCATCCATTTGATTGGTTTGACAACTGCTACCCATAGGAACTACAAAATGGAGACCAAATTTGAATCACAAGGTCCTCCTTTTCTTTTCGGGAATGTTGGTTCATATATCTCTCTGCTATCTGTCTGCTTATCGGGTGATGGTGTTGAACTGTTGGAAGAAGGCGGCGGTCGGGGGGTTGATGTAGACTTGTTTGTCCAGGAACTCCTTGTGTGCTTTTTGTTCCATGGCCAATTTCAGATTCTCTTCAGCAACATCTTTGTTCCGGTTTCTCAACTGCCTTCCCTGTTCTCGTTCCAGCACCATTCCGGCTAAATAAAAATTGAATTGGATAAAAAAATAATCCAAGAAAACTGGATCAATTAGTAATTTATATTTTCACTGAGGTTCCTGAAAAAAAAATAAAAAAATCTTTTTGGTGCAAGTAAAAGTTAAATTCTGCCTCAATTTTCTGCCTCAATAACTGAAATTGAATATCGAGCTTGAATGAAAAAATAGGCAACAAGCAGTTGGAAAAGAGTCATGAACGCAAGGAAATACAAAAAAAAGCACTTGTTTTTTGAAAAAACTTTAACGTTCGAATTTCAAAGTATAAAATATATGGCCTTTAAAAGCTTTGTAGTTCAAAAACAATTCATTATTGACGCTTTTACACTAAAACTAGCTCAACCAACTGGCCTCAGCCAACATACGACTTTTCTCTATCAGGAAGTCGAAAAAAAAACTTGAAAATGATGCATCAAAACTATGCATTGAAGACTTTTTCTGTGCATGAGTTAGTCGACATCTAAATTTAAAAAAACGCCCATTCAAGAAAAAAATTCAATCAACAAAATTGCCAAAAATAAAAAAAATTAAGTATTTTGTTACAAATTTTTAACCAATAAAAGTCATAACACAGCAATCAGGCAGTTGGAAAAATGTAAAAGAACAAGGAAATCGAGAGCAAAATGATAAAAAAAACTTTGAAATCATTTTAACTTTCGAACTCCAAAGAAAAAAATGGCCATGCGGCTGTTTCAATTTCAAGAACAGCTTGAGATGGAAATTTTTGAAAGAAATAACAAAATTTGAGAAAACTGGATCAATGGGTAATTTTTTTCATTCCACTGAGAAAACTGAAAATCAAAATCCACGTTCGAAACTAGAAGTCGATCACGTTTTTTGTCACTTTTACACTTATGCAGTTCGATAGTGGAATTTGCCTACTTTTTAAAAAAGGAAGTGAAATGAACAGAAGAAAATCAAAACCAAACCGCAAAAATAAATTAAATTTGAGCTTAAAAAACTTTCAAATTTTAAGGTTTTTCCTGAAAAAAAAAACAGAATCATCTCTCAGTCGTAAGCTGTTAGGATTTTGCTCCATTATATATTTTCATAGTTAATTATGGGCGGAAAAAGTACAACAAAATAATCAATTATAGCATGGCAAACTAGCCAAAAAAAAGAGACAAAAGCCCCTAAGTCAAAAAATATCTTAAGAATCTCTGAAAAATACATCTATTAAAAAAATCTTGAAAATCGAAAGTTTCACAACCGATGCGCAAATAAAAAAAAATTATTCCGCCCGTCAAACGACGCAGTATGAGCAAACAAAGCTGATATAAAAAAAAACTGAGACCCTTTGAGTAAAGAAAAAGTGTGAGCGAAAATACAACAATAAAGTAAAATATTAACCCATTTTCTTCCAAAGTGTCCAAAATTTTGATCTGACTTGACTAAACCAAAGTTCATGGGTAGAGGTTTTTTATGGAATAGAAAAAATGTTTAATAACTAATCTAACATTTTGAGCAAGATAAACTGTTAGACATCAAATTTTGCGCTTGTTGAAGGAGCGGTTTAAAGGGGACTTTAAAGGGTAAACACCACCCACCTTTTGCGTGCAGATTAGCCTGTTTTTCCCACTCTTCATCCTCCCGTTTCTGCTGTGCCTCTCGCTCCTTCCTTTCATCCTCCTGGATCTTCTGGTTCTTCCTAATCTCCGCAATCTGTTCTGGAGTCATTCCCTTCCACCTATCTGGGATAACTCGGTGAGGACCGAAGGCACTCGTGGAGATGTTTGGATTTTCGGTCAGGAAATCTCCGTGCACGTGATTAGCTATTTCCGTTAGCTTGTCATCCATCTCTCTTCGTTTATCTAACTCTTTCTGGTTATTGACTTCATCTGACAACGCTTTGTTGTAATTCGATTGTGCGGTGACAATCGCCTTTCGGCAGGCCATTTCGGCTTTTTGAAGCTCCATTGCGCGGTTGTCCAGCTCGATTTGTTTCTTGTCGTACAGCATGTCGGCTCTTCGTTTTTTCTCTTCGGCCTTTCGTCGCTCCTCGGCTTGCTGCTTGGACCATTCGCGCATCTGTTCCTGCTGAAGTTTTCTTCGTGCAGGGTTGTTCAAGTCTTCACCCTCAAATTTTTGAAGTGAGGAGAGGGTACAACGGGGGTCATCGTCATGAACCCGAGCAGGTTTATCCTTCTTGAGTGAATCAGGGTCGTAGAGATCAAACTCCCGACGAGTATTTGGCTGCTGATGCATATTTCTGTACTCGTTTAGAGCTTTGTTCAGTCGTCTAATGTCAGCTTCTTGTCGTTTCTGGAGCAGTTGCGCGATTTTATCATTTCGGATCATGTCATTAGCAAATGCTTCGTGACGGCGACGTTCCATCTCCTCGCGCATCCGACGATCCCGTTCCTGCTCCTGGACCGCCTGGAGGTCGATGCCGATAGTACGAACTTTGGCATTGAAGATTCGGCTCTGGCGCTGAAGTTCCCGCTGGCGACGGGCTTCGATGGCCTCGAACTCTTTCTTGTCAATCGGTAAGTCTAGCTTGTACATTTTTGATGTTGTAGGTAATAATTTTTTAGATATAAACGTAATAATATAACAAAGTTTTAAATGCAACAATGATTTTTTCAATCAAATGTTTTTGCACAACAATGGTGGTTTTACGTGTATGCAAAAAACGCATGTGCTATTTGATAACGCACTTTGAAATTATGGTTTTAAATCAAATATGCACCTTCAATATTTTATATAAAAATAGAGAATAATACATTCTGTATACACCAGCTGCTTAGAAACTGCGAACGAACACAAGCGGAATAAAACCGATTAAATAAGCAAGTTCTGTATTTTTTTACAGAATAAGAAGCAAGGTAAGCTCGGAGTAATGCTCGTGTGTTTTTTTAAAATTTATCTAGCGTGAATCAATACACGTGCGTTTTCGAGATTTTTTCATATAATTTTTTTAATATAATCCGAGAGCTCGCTGGATTATTGGCAGGATTCATATGTAAAATATCTATGTTATAGATAGTGAAAATAAACAGTTAGGTAAACAATCTGATTAGTCTGAAGCAAACAAACATTTTAAAATGGCGACCCAGAGTAAGCCCAGTGATCACTTTACCCTTGGGGATTGGAACACCTCAAATTTTACCATCGCCACCAATGCGGAGAGGGGCAGAGACACTTCTTTTGCAGTCAGACAGGATGGCAGACACCTGATTAATGACACAGGAATCATCACAAGGTAAGATGTTTTTTTTTTCGTTAATTACAACCGTCAAAAAAGATATTGATTTCCAATAATAAACTGCGAGGTCGCGGTTTGATTGAATCTAAAAAAAAAAAACAAATAAAAAATACAGCTGAATTTTTTTAGTAAACCGCGTCAACCATCCGGGGTCCAGGTGAAAGTAGATCCGGGGTCCAGGTGCTCATTTTATATTTCGACTTTCAAAGTGGTCGACCAAAAATGAATAGTAGAGACAGGGGGTTTCGATCGAGCTCGATCGAAAAATAACGATTGTGTCGCGGTAATTCGTCAAAAAGAAATTTTTTTTTCAAATATATATATATATATATTTTTTAGAATTGTGAGCTCAAATTGCAAACCAGTACTCCAAAAGTTGGATGAAAAACACCTCAAAAGTAGTTAATCTCTAGAAAGCAATTAAATTGGCAATAGCTCTAATCATTTCATTCTGATAAGAAAAACATCACAAGATGTTACCCGAAAAGCATGAATTATAATGTTTAGATTCGGATAACTCATGTTGTTTGAAAATCGAAACAAACCCAAATTCAGTCGAGCACGGTTGAGACACATCTTGATTGGGTCGAGCACGATTTTTTTGGTCGGGCACGGTCGAAACATATCTTGCTTGGGTTGAGCACGAACGAGCCTATTTGTCTCGGTTGAACACAGTCGAAGCATACCAAAATTTGGTCGAGACGGTGGAAACTAACCATTTTTTGGTTGAGACGGTCAAAACATAAAGTGAGCATCTCGAACCGGAGTTCTGAATTATAGAAAAAACACTCCCATTGCAACTTGCAACAAAAAAACACCTCGCAAAGATTGACAACTAACAAAATTTAAGAAAAGCCACGACTCACATAAAAAGAACACGACTGCTCGTATATCAGGGCAAAACCCCCGAATGTTCAGACTGCCCCTTATCTGGTCTCGAATAATTTTTTTTCATTTTTTGATAAATTGTAAATTCTGTAATGACAATATCAAATGCAAGAGCCACCACTTGAGAGGAAAAAATATGATCAATTGAAGTTGGCTTCAATTAAGTTGGAGCAAACATGAGTGCGGATAATTTGCCAAACATAACAAGTTCGCGTACTGAAACTATCAAATTATTGTTGGAGCTGCGACAACGTCCGCATTTATTCCAATGCAAGCACATTCACATAGCAATCTAAAAATTTCTGGATCGATACCCGTACGCTGTCAATTTTTGTAAAATCGTCCTGAAACTAAAAAGCCACCCGAGGCATTTATAGTCTTCTTGTTTTTCGATAGTCCAAAATAAAATGGCAAACACTGATTCATGCGCTTCATAACGACTCTTTGCCAAATGAATGCGCGGTGGAGCAAACGGTAGCTACTTGCGATGTCGCGGTTGCAACAAGTTTTTAACTTAAAAAAAAAATTGTTTTTTTTTTCCTTCAATTTTGCGAGTTGTCTCAAGATATAAAAAACCTACAACTAATTAAGCGAAAAAAGATGCGTTTTGTAAATTTTCTTCCTTTGTTTTTAATAGTAAAAAAAAAAATTCAACCTTTTTTCAATTTTTTTTTATTTACTACATCTC